CAGGTCTGGAATTGAACTCACTCCTGTGGCCAGCCAAAAACTAGACAGGCACATGGGGTGAACATTCACATCAAGTAGATATACTCCTTGGAGCAATCAATCATGGGAGACTAGAAGGGCAGTGTTTGCACAGGGAGATAGCTCAGGGAGCAGGAGTACATGGGAAGGAAGGACACAGGGAAGAGGTAACTACAAGGAAGAAGTGGGACAGAGCTGTTACATTATGGGGAATTGCAGTCAATGTCATGAGACAAAATGTTTATGAATTGCTATATGTAAAATGAATTTGCTCTGTAAACTTTCACCCAAATCACAAAAATTAAAAAAAAAAAAAAAAAAAAGGTTTAGGAACTAAGTGAAAAATCTGTATGTAAAAGATCACATATACTATATGATTTCATTTATATGAGATGTTCAGAAAAGGCAAATTTATAGAGACAGAAAGTACATTAATGGTTTCCTGACTAAAGGTAGGAACAGAGCTTGACTGCCAGTAACCACAAGAGAGGAATTTCATAGGATGATGAATATATCCCAAAACTGGATTATGGTCAGAGCTCAACAACTGAAAAATATGGAATTATACACTTAAACAGGTCCATTTTATGATACGTAAATTATACTTCAGTTAAGCTATTAAAAATAAGCAAAAAATTACTAATTAAAACCAGGCAGAAAGGAAATAAAAACAGCAATTTTAGAATTGAAAAATATAATCACTGACATTCTAAAATGTAGTAGATGGGAAAGACTCAAACCCAGGCAAATTATTTAGAGGACTGGCAAATCAGAACTCATGATGGAGGTATTTCCCAGGATGCAACACAGAAAGCAATATATATATATTTTAATTTCAAAATCACATTTCAGCATACAGACAGGTAGGCTTCCTCATTCTCCAAAAGGGAATCCAGAAAAGAGAATGAAAGCAATGGCAAAGGTACAATATTTCAAGGCAATATCACTGATAATTTCCCAGAATTAAAGAATGAACAGGAACCTTGGTGGTGTAATGGTTAAGCGCTCGGCTGCTAACTGAAAGGCCTGTGGTTCAAACTCACCAGCAGCTCCTCAGGAGAAAAGACTTAGCAATTTGCTCCCATAAAGATTACAGAAAACACTATGGGGCAGTTCTACTCTGTCCTTTCAGGGTTGGAGTTGTCAAGGATTTCATTTTACTTGGATCTACAATCAACACACATGGAAGCAGCAGGCAAGAAACCAAACAACCAATTGCATTAGGCAAATCTGCTGCAAAAGACTTTTTTAAGTGTTAAAGAGCAAAGATGTCACTTTGAATAGTAAGGTGTTCTTGACCCAAGCCTTGATATTTTCAATAGCTTCATATGCACATGAAAGCTGGACAATGACTAAGAAAGACTAAAGGATCAATGCATTTGAACTGTGGTGTTGACAAAGAATATTGAACGTACCATGGACTGCTAGAATGAACCAATCTGTCTTGGAGGGTGTATAGCCAGAACGCTCCTTAGAAGCAAGAATGGCCATACTTTTCCTCTCATACTTTGGTCATGTTGTCCAGAAGGACCAATCCCTGGAGAAGGATATCATGGTTGGTAAAGTACAGGGTCAGTGAAAAAGGGGAAGACCCTCAATGAGATGGACTGATCAAGTGGCTGCAATGATGGGCTCAAGCATAACAAGGACTGTGAGGATGGCACCAGACTGAGAAGTTTCATTCTGTTGTACACAGGGTTGCTGTGAGTTGGAACCAACTCGATGGCTCCTAACAACAACAGTGACAACAACATGGGTTGGAATTGACTCTATGGCACACAATACCAAAGAAAGAATATGAGCCCTCAATAGAACAGACATTCTTGATTTTGCAAGGATAAACTAGATAACTGTAGTGAAACTGCTGAACATCAAAAATAAAAGAAAAAAATCTTAAATGCTATCAGAGAAAAGGCAATTTACTTACAAAGAAATGAAAAATTATATCGGCTGTAGACATTTTAACCAGCAGCAATTAATGGCGAAAGGCAATAGAGCAGTATTATCAATGTACTATAGGAAAATAACTGTCCACCATATTTTTATACCCACATAAATTATCACACAATAGCGAGGGCAAAATGAAGACATTTTCAGATATACAAAGAATTATCTCCTCCATCAAATCACTTATAGAAAGAACAATTAAAGGATGAACTTCAGCCAGAAGAAAACTGAACTCAAGGAAGCAGCTTTGGATTCAAGGAGGGAAAAAAAAATTAGTGAGCCCCAAAATGATTACATGTCATTAAACTTAATTAACTTTTTACCATAAAAGAAGAAGGCCATTAAACGGGTAAAGTATGCCAAGAAAGAATTACGTGATAACTTTATTAGAAAAAAAATTATAGTCAAGTATGTATGTTGAAAAATAAAAGACAATTCTGAGAACAGACATACAGACTAATGTTCCCAACCACTAGTGAATACAGATTACTAATCTAAGAGAAGCAGGAATGGAGAAAAAAGAAGTAACAATAAAGGATGGTAAACAAAAGACATAAAATATGATGGAAATAGAAGTCCAAATATATTAGGAACTCACAATAAATGCACATGGATTAAACTCATCTATCAGAGACCCAACTAAAACATAAAACTCCTCAGAGATACAACTAAAACAAAACTCATAGGAAAATTAGATACAGAGAAATGGGAAATATGTAACCTATGAATAGTAGCCCCTAAAAAGCAGCATATCAGTATCAACATAAAAATACCTAATTTAAGCAATTAGCATGAAAAATGGTAAAGACAGACTCTACAAAATAACATGATTATAATGTTGCATATACTTTAAGGAACATCACCTACTACGTGCCAGGGATCATGTCTGTCTTTTTCACTGTTTTATTTTCAGTGCTTATCATAAAATACAACGCAACACACTGCCATTGAGTCAGATCTGACTCACAGAGACCTTTCCTTATGTTTCCGAGGCGGTATCAGTGCTCCATAAATATTACCATACCAAGCCAAACTCACTGCCACAGAGTCTATTTTGACTCATAGCAACCCCCAATGGGTTTCCAAGGGTGTAAATATTTACAGAAGTGGACTGCCTCATCTTTCTTCTGTGGAGTTGCTGGTGGATTTGAACCACCAACCTTTTGGTTAGCAGCTAAATGCCTGAACCACTACACCACCAGAGCTCCTTAAATATTACCATAGTATATTGAACAATCTGGTTATGTGTTTGTTACTCCACAAGGCAGGGCCTGAACGTTATTCAATTTTATGCCACCAACACTCAGCACAGTACTTGGCACATAGTAGGCACTCAATAAATGCAAACTGAATTCAAGGTTCATCTCTCTCATACAACCTCTCCTGCCATGAATAACTTAGATTTTGCTTCCATTTCCACACCACTCACAATTTGTACCAGTTACCTTAGCAATTGATTGTATGTGTCATCTTTAGTTTTCTCTCAATCTTTCAAACCTTGTCTCTCCAACAATATTCCTGCTCTTGAAAACAGAGAAGATGCCTAATACCATGCCTCGCACCTTGCCAAGTACTTGGTTGTTGTCATCATTTAACGATGACCGTTGATTACACCAGTGATGCCAGCATCATATGCCATGGCTACCCCAAAGGGCTATCTCCATTACTTCTTTTCCATTGTTGACTAAAGAGATCACTGTTTGAAGCCAGGCTTATGTGCAAAGAATGTGGAGAAGTCAATGGCAGGGGCCAGAGAAAGCAGCTAGTGTCCATTTCCCAAGGCCCTGTGCTGTCTTCCTTCTTGAAAAATAGTGAGAGGGGAAAGTGCCTGTAACACCACATAAGAGTGGGTGGTGGGGAAGAGGGAAGGAGCTAGAGAGGAAAACGGGAAGGAAGGGAGCATGCGCGATACACTCCTGGAGAGAATCCCCAGCTGACCTTCCCTTGGGAGGCATGGCGATGGTGGTGGTTGATGTGGTTAGTGCCAGTGCCTCAGATTCTGACTCATGGCCACCCCACCGTGCAGCACAGAGTTGCTCCACAGGCCTCCCTAGGCAGTGACCTTTCCCAGGTGCCTCTCCATGGGTTAGGACCGCCAACCTTTCGGCAAGTGGCCCAGCACTTAACCATTTCTGCCAAGCAGAGACTTCTTAGGCATAGTATCAGGAGTTTCTTAGGCCACTGGAAGGAAACGTCAATACCACAGCTACATCCACACACTGGAAGTTTGCTTAGAGGACAGGGTGAGATGCTGCTGTTCTTCTTCACCAGAGCCAAGCAGGCAAATGAGGGGGACGGATGGCAACCGGCTCCTAAATGGGCAGCAGCGACAGACTTGAACTGGTGGTCTTGTGTCGCGGTGGTCTTCGTGAACAAGACGCCATAGTTCTAGGGAGTTTGAACCGAGGCTCTGGGTTAAAGAAGGGAGATGGGCTGGCAGACCTACCAAGGTCCTTTCTAATCCCAGGATTGCACAGCGCAGCGCAGTGAGCTCTTGCCCATTCACGCTCCTACACACGTCTGCACCCAGTTTGATAGTAAGTCCCCTGGGCTGCCTTCCAGCGTGAGTACGCTGCCACGCCAGCTGCTGGCACGCAACAAATGGCTCAAATATTTGTTGAAGGAAGGAATAAACGAATCAAGGGTTTAAATAGGGCCCATATGACCTCCCTAGCTGTAAAGTACGGCGATGAATGAAAGCACAACATTCTGGCACGATCACTTGACCCAGACGGCAGAGAAAAGCACCTGTACGCCACCCTACCACCCGATTCTTATCTTGGGAAAAGCGCAGACCACCTGCGCAGCACGCAGGCTAGAGTTTCCTGGGCAAGGAGTCTCTCTCTGCTGCTTCAGGATGTACCTCCAGAAGGTCAAGTCACCCAGGCTTAGACCGCTTGCCCGCCCGGCTGGCCTCCGAGACAAAGTTTCTGCCAGGATTCAGCGTGGGCTTCCCCCGAGGCGCGCCCGCACTTCCTCTCTGGCCTCGAGCGCCCCAGGCGCACGGCTAGCCAGCCCGCAGCGCCGCCACTTACCTTGGTGAGTTGGGCGATCTTTTTGCACATTTTCACATGGATCTCCGGATCACAATCCATTCTCCAGCTAGCATCTCCGCGGGCATCGGCTGTGGAGACCGAGCAAGTCCCGGGCGAGTGCATTTTGCTGTTGAGTGCAGAAGCCATCGCCACAACGCGATCGACACTCAGAGGCTCTCGCTGTGGTTCTCCTGGCCACCCGTGTGCACGTGCGTGCGCGCGCGGTCGTGTGAGAGCCGGCGCTTCCCCGAGAGAGGTGGCACTGCAGTCCTGCCGCCGGCCCAGCAGCGTGGCCGGTCTCCCCCGAGGTGTCCCCAGCTCCCGCCCCCTTGCTCGCGGACCCTGCGGGAACCCGCACCCTGCGGCGTGGCGCCTACGACCCGCACGTGCCGCTCCGGGGCGGCGCGCAGCTCCCGGGCTGCTGCGGGCTCTGCCTGTTACGTACAGCGTCCTTGGCGAGCAGCCGCCAGCCTGGGGAGGTTTACGCTGGCCTGCTCGGCCCTCCTGGACACGTGGGTGGCGCGGGCCTCTGCCGGCCTGGGTGGCGACGAACCCCGCCCCAGCAGCAGCCAGCCTCGGGCAGCGCTGCGCGCGGTCCAGGGAGAGGCCCTGAAGGCGTGCGCGGGACGAACCGGTGGCGAGGGCCGGGGCACCTTGACCAGCACACTTAGCCTGTGGCTCCGGAGCCTTGGAGCTCCGCACTGGGCGCAGAGGGGGTCGAGCGGGCTGCCCAGAAGGACGCGGAGAAGTGTGCCATCGCGGCAGGGAAGGAGGCGCGGGGTTCGAGGCGCACAGGGTGGGCTCGGGGTGCGGGAGCGCCCCTCCCCATTGGGAGGAGCCGAAACATTGCGGGAGGATTGCTGGAGATCACCGAACAAAAGGGAAGAAGCAACCAAGGTGGCAGAGAGACCGGCGGGCGAAATCTGGGACGTGGAAGAGCGGCGCGCATAGTGCGGTCAGCTGTAGGAGCACAGAGAAAAAGTCATCCGACAGGGAAAAAGATGGTGGCAGGTGTGGGAAAGGAGGCAGCAAAGAGGAATGGAGGAGTGACTGAGTAACGGAGCTGACAGTCTGAGTCAGCCCGGCCCAGTGCAAGTGGATGAAGTGACTTGTCGAATCCACACTGCTGGTTAGGGCCGACTAGAGCCAGAATTCGGAGTCTGCGGATTCCAAACCTTTTTAGCTTGTTTGGTGCGGGGAGAGGTTAAACCCACTGCAATCGAGTTGATTCCGACTTATTGCGACCCTATAAAGCAGAGTGGAACTGCCCCATAGGGTTTCCAAGGATTTCCGTAAATCTTTACGGAAGCAGGCTGCCTCACCTTTCTCCCAGGGAGGGGCTGGTGGGTTTGAACAGCCAACCTTTTGGTTCACAGCTCAGTGCTTTAACCACAGCGCCACCAGAGCTCCTTGAGGAGGGGTTAGTGGACCAAATTTATTTGCTGCTTGTTTTCCCCAGTTTGCAACTGTGGGCTTTTGGGAAAGTAACCACGGCATCCTGATCAGATAGATCTTCATAAAACCTGACTCAGTCATAGCGTGATGAGTAATAACAGTTTGCATGGATAAATAAATTTCATTTTACAAACTGGCTCATGCTGAGTTTTAATAACCTTAATAATAAGCTTCAAAGGGTCTCAAAAGTCACCATCACATCCCTCCTCCACACGGCAGGTAACCACAGCCATTGTTAGAGATGGAGAAATAGACCCAGGAAATTGGTACCAACTCGGACAATTACCAGCAATTAGAGCTGCGTCTGAAACGGAGATATTCCTACTTGAAATTCCTTATTTTCCCCCACTACATCACTGCGAAAGAATGGCCAACCTGTTTTTGTTTGTTTGTTTAATTTTGTTTTGCTTTAATTTCTAGTTCACTATCTTAGTTTAGTTAGATTATCTCTCCAGGCCAACCATCCCCTCCCTCAGGTAATTTAGAAAACAGACTCGTGAATCTTTGTCAAGAGGTTATTGCAGATTCTTGGTTCCTATCTTAGAGCCCAAGGAGCTCTGATGGTGCAGTGGTTAAGTCAGCCATTCAGCTGCTACCCGAAGGTCGATGGTTCGAACTCACCAGTGGCAGTCTGCTATTGTAAAGATTTATAAAGATTTACTGGACAGTTCTACTCTGCCCTACAGGGTGGCTGTGAGTTGGAATTGACTTGATGGCAGCGAGTTAGTTTTACTCTAGAGCCCCAGAGTCAGTCTCTGGAGGTGGAGGCTTGGGAATTCTCATTTTAAACAAGCTCCCTACTTAATTCCAAGTGACATATTTACAGTGGTTTTTTTGCAGTCTGAATATATGCTGACTTTCCCAGGAATTCAACCATTGTGTAAACTAAAGGAAAATTAACCTGTTGGGTTCAGAACTTTACCAAAAGTTGTTCAATGTTTTGGAAAACCACACCCTCAATGGCCATGTGGTTTATGGTATATGGCTGCTAATACAACACACACTGTGCCTGCCACATTCATGGTGAGTCTACTGATACTCTCAATATCTGAATACTATATGGGAGCTCTGGTAGCATAGTGGCTAAGACACTTGCCTGCTAACCAGACGGCTGGCAGTTCAAACCCACCAGCCACTCCTCGGAAGGAAGGTTGGGCAATCCTATTTCCGTAATGATACTGCCTCGGAAACCCGAGGAGGGGTCGCTATGAGTCGGGGCCGACTCGACGGCACATAACAACAACAACAACATATTAAGTCATAAGGAACCTGGTGGTATAGTGGTTAAGGCATTTGGCTGCTAACCAAAAGGTTGGTGTTTCAAATCCACCAGCCACTCCATGGAAGAAAGATGAGGCAGTCTGCTTCTGTAAAGATTTACAGCCTTGGAGACCCATGGGGGTAGTTATGAGTCAGAATTGACTCGATGGCAGTGATTTTGGTTTTTGGTTTTGGTATAATAAGTCATAAAGTTAATCGCAGCAGATCATTTATATATTGAAACACATTATTTAAATATAATATTTCATTTTCTTTCTCCATTATATTACCATCAAAAATTCACACTAATTTTAAAAATATACAAGTAAAGTAGGAGGTACTGGGTGGTTCAAACAGAATTAAATGCTGGGCTAAAAACCAAACGTTGGTGGTTAGATCCCACTCAGAGGCACCTCAGAAAAAAAGCCTGGAGAACTGCTCTGGAAAGGTCATGGTTACGAAAACGCTAGTGCTCTGAACGCATGGGGGCATGAGTCGGAATCAACTCCACTGCTTTTTTAAGCATATTATCTATGAATTTCAAGATTGTATGTGGATATATATTTTTAAGTGATGTTGGGTATGAACAGCATTGAGTTTCAGTTATTCAAATATGATTTTCTTAGGCCCAGAGACCAAATTATTCCCCAGTATGATATATTATACTTTCAACTTGACAACGGAAGACAGTGGGAAAATCAGACTTCCTTTGCAGGCTGCGTGGGGCCATAGCTACTGTAATCAAAGTGCTGCCAGCAGACTCATCTTGGAAACAGTCCTCTGCAGGCCCCAGGATTGCCTTGCACTCTGATTAATCGGTCCCTTCACGCTGTCTGGGATGAATTAGAGTGCAGAAGAGAATTAAGCCCTGTGTCAAACGCAGGTTGAGGGAGACAATTTATGAGATCGCTAATGTCATCTTGGCACGGTGCTAAGCCCCTTCCTTGCACTGTCCTTACCGCCTGGAAGGTAGTGCTATATAAGTAGCTTATCCAATTTCATGTGGCTCGTAAATGGACCTGGAGCTATCTGACTTCACTGCCTATATTTCCAGAATGCAATACTGGCAATCTAATTTTTCAAAAACCATCATTTATTTTTAGTTATAAAAATAACATGCTTGCAGTACTCTCACCCAAAAAACCCTCACCTATACAAAAAATGAGTACACAAAGAAAATAAAAATCACCCCAAATCCCACACTCAGAAAATTACTGTGTTCCCAGACATCTCTCTGGACATACATGGAAATGTTATGTTGTCTATGTATTTTAAAACTTAAGTGGGATACTGTACATGATGTTTTTGAACCCTATTCATGCAATGACGTAAGGTGAACATTGTATACAGGAACATATTTACCCTATGCCCTGTTCAGGGACTTTTTTTTTTTTTTTCTGTTTTAAGTAAAAATGTTTCATATATGGTTCTGGGGGCGCAGTGCCTAAGGCATTTAACTGCTAACCAGAAGGCTGGCGGTTCAAACTCACCAGTCACTCCTCAGAAGGAAGGTTGGGCAATCTACTCCCATAGACATACTGCCTCAGAAACCCAAGGAGGGGTGGCTTTGAATCGGATCCAACTCGACGGCAGTGAGTTTGGTTTTTGGTTTTATGCAATGAAAATACTCAGTTATGTTCTAGAGGACCCCCCAAAAAGAAAATTTATGTGTTGAGTATAATAGGTAAACAAGGAGCTGGTGAGACAGAATTCTTAAAATGTATCACTACAGATAGTGTACTCTAAGACACGATAAAAGAACTACTAAGTGCATTTGCCCCAAAACAAAGCTCAGAAGGTAGGAAGTGGCAGGAAAGGACAGATACAGGGGAACCCAGGGAGGAAGTGGGAAGAGTGGTGTTACATTGAGGGAACTGCAATGAATGTTATGAAACAAAATGTGCATAAAATTGAATGGAAGACTCATGTGCTCTGTAGACTTTCACTTAAACAATAAAAAATAGTAATAAATGGAATATATGATAAAAGAGGTGGCAGAAACAAGAGTGTTGTTACTAACAGAAAAGGAAGGAAAGGACAAGTGATAAGACAGAACATGATGCCACCTACAGGCCTATAGCTATGCCATTCTGAAAACAAAATGACCCCTCTGCTGGCAATACCCATTCTAACCCCAAAACATTAAAAAATGTAGCCCTCTGCAGTCCTTAGCCAGGCATACTTCTGAAAGAACATGTATTGGCTCCAGGAACCCTCCACCTGCTGAGGCCTTTTCAATCTCAACTCTGGTTCTCCTACCTGCACTATTAGAGGTGAAGGTTAACGCAGCTGCAATGAGGCATGTCAGCATCATGTAACACAAGATTCGTCACGTGGTCCTTACATCCCCCGAGCTCCTTACCCTAAATGTATTGATCTTCTTATTATATCTTTCCAACTTCTGTTTAAAATTGATTCAATAAACCATGTGATTTCAG